TAGTAACTGGGAACCACTAAATTCTATATTCCAGGAGGTTACAGTTCACACACAACTCCTTACTTATCACTACCAAGTAACTGAGAACTCTTCTGACTTCATCCACCAGGCTGAGATAAACCTTTTAGACACAGCATTGAGTGCCACTGTGTAAATTACCTTAAAATGAAACACTATAAATAAGGTTCCTTTGCAGCATGTGTTCCCTACAAGTGACCCTATTGACCCTCTTACCTGAAGACTCACCCATGCCCTGATCTGGTATCAATTCTGTAATTGGTCAAACAGAACTTAAGGTGTTTTAATTTGCTAACTAGTATGACTTGACATCAAGATATTAATAATAGCAACTAGTCCTTGAGAGTTTATGCATGATAGGCAGGGCACTACATCCTTTATTATGCCTCATACAGACCCTATGACGTAGAAGCTCTAATAATACTCATTTTGCAAAAGAGAAACCCAAGCTTAAAGAAGTTAAATGCTACAAGTTATCCTGATAACTAATAGAGCCTGAGTTTTTGCCTGGTTCTGTCTGACTATGCAATTCCAGGTTCTCAATTACTCTTGTTACTTGACATTTCACCATGTGTGACTCAAAGCTACCTTAAGTCACAATATGAATAGTTTTCCTTCTTCCCAGTTTGTCTCCTTTCACTGCCTTCTCCAAGCTGATGTCACCTCCCCACACCTATCACTTAACTCTGAAATCTCTACTCATCTCTCAGTCTCTGTTCCATGGCTTTTGTGTCATCCTGACTGGCTCTTAAATCATTCTCTTTTTTTCACACCCTCAGATGGTTCTTTCCAAGATTATGCTGTAATACCTGTAACAATCTTCCTACCTTAGTATTTTCTTTTCCATATCCAAATGCCACTTCTCCAGTTCTCGGTTCATCATTTACTAACACAAACTTGATGTCACATCAAGGCTTAAGATCAACCAGTGATTCTCATCCAATCAAACACCGATCGCTTAGCTGAGTACTGTCACAGAGTAGCTCCATCTTAACTTCTTCACTGGTATCTCTTACTATGAGCCCCTTGTTCTTACCCCATAAATGCTGTGTTTTCTTGTCCAGAGGTCATAAACTGTGAGTGCCTCAAGCAGAAGATATACTACACTGTGCTGGTTCACCCAGTACGATTTGTGTCTGTGCAACTATTACCATTTAAAGAATTGGAAGAGTTCATGTAAAAACACAGACCTCTTACTTTTGTTTTTGTTTTTTTTTTGCATTACTGGGGATTGAACTCAAGGCCTTGTGCTTGCTAGGCAGGTGCTCTACAACCTGAGACACACTGCCAGACCATTTTGCCATGGTAATTTTTGAGACGGGGTCTCATTTTATGCCTGGTCTGGCCTGGACTGTGATCCTCTTATTTATGCTTCCTGTGTATCTTAGATGACAGGTACTTGCCACAGCTCACAAGCTTTTTGCTGGGGCTGACTTGAACCATGATCCTCCTGATCTTTGCCTGCTGAGATTACAGTCTTGAGTCACTGCACCCAGCGTCTTACTTCTTTGAAACATTAACTCATCAGTTGCCCACAATCCTCACCACCCTAGGCAGTAGCCCTAACTCAACAAACCTTAATCCATTTCTGAGAACATAAAAAATGAAAAACTTAGGAATGAACTTTACTAAGAAAGTGAAAGAATTTTTACACAGAAAAGTATAAAACATTAATGAGAGAAACTGAATAAGACACAAATTAGTGGACATCTATGCCACGTTCACGGATCGGAAGAATTAGTTTCGGCATAATGTCCATACTAGCCAATGAAACCTAGATATTCAATGCAACTGCTGTCAGCATTCCAAGAGCATTCCTTACAGACAGAAAAACATTCTAAGTCCAGATAGTCCAAATAGTCACAATGAAATGAAATCAAAGGCATCGCACTTCCCAATTCAAAATTTAACTAAAACAGAATGACATTAGCATAGAAACAGAAATAAAGGACAATGGAACAGAACAATGAGCCCAGAAATACATTAAAATGTATACGGTCAACTAATTTTTGTAAGGACACCAAAAGGGCACAAAAAAGGAAGGGATAGTTTCTTCAATAAAATGGTCCATCCAGGGATGAATGGATAAAGAAACTGTGGTAAAAATATACAATGGAACATTATTCATCTTAAAAGAGATGAGAATCTGCCTGCTGACCCAGCATGGATGGGTCCAGAGGTCATTATAGTAAGCGAACCAAACAACAAAAGAAAAATAGTGTAGGATATGTCTCACATGAGAAATCTTAAAAGAAAAACTGAAAAGATGTCAAATATAACAGTAGTTAGCAGGGGCACGACTGGAGGAGGAAATGGGGAGATACAGGCCAAAAAAATACAAAGGAACAGATATGGAAGCTGAACAAGTCTAGAGATTCGAGGTATAACATGAAGACTATAGTTAATAAAATTGAACTACATATTTTTGTTATGTAGATTTTAGCTGCTTTTGTCACAAAAAAAGGAGTACAATGTGATAGATTTATATTAATTTGCTCCACTATAGTAACCATTTTACTGTCAATATGTATTTCATAATATCATGCTGTAAATCTCAAGTAAACACAGTAAAGTTTATTTTTAAAAAAGAAGTAATTGTCTTATATAAACTTTGAGCAAAGGTCAAATCTCCTTAGTAAGCTTTTACAGCTGGCTATGAAGGTTGGCTCTATCTGCTTTTAAATGTTTCATGTGTATAAATACATCTCTCTCACCTTTTACAATTGTTCATATGACCAAATAAATGACTAATGTTTAAAAAAACCACTTTCCCCCTTAGGACAAATTTCATAGGTGGTAATTACTTCATTCATCAGGTCTGCATCTTCACAAACAGTTTCAAATTTTATAGTTTCCCAGAAAACTCTCCTTGTAAACTACATCTTATTCCACATCTTTGTCATGGAGTTTTTATTTTCATATTAAAGTAGGAACTCCTAAAAATCTGGGTCTAGATTGAGAGGAGAACATAACATTTCCTAATAATCCAAAGAGGAATGGTGGGTAGCATGCAGACGTTTGTTAAGGGCAGAAATGCCCAAAGCAGACCTAAGGAGGAAGAGGAGTTTATACACGCTCTGTAGAAGTCTAAATGAAGGACCGCAGTTGCCATGGAGGCTAACTCTCGGAAGGAAGGACCTGATTCTTTTAGGAGCTGCTTCTGTTTTCTTGCCAAGACCATCTGCCGACAGCCCCAAACACCAGGCAGCAGGTGGAAATGCCTGTTAATACGTGAAAGACAATTAACATTTTGCTATCTATCAGTTTTAAACCTGGAGCAGGTGTGTGCAGGGACGCAGAAACATCCCTTGGGAGCTGTAAATTGGCCTGCTCCTGAGCTAGGCTTACAAGTATCTCAGAGGAACCTCCTTCTTTCCTAAGGCCGTTGAGGGATAAAGGGAATCCGACAAGAACCAGTCTGCGGTATATCTACATTCCAAGAAGGAATTCCAGAAATTTCTGACTCAGATTTAAATCTTTGCCTGTAAGAGTTTTCTTTCCTTGTGATCCAATTTCCTCTTAATTAATCAAGAGGGATTTTGTCTCTGCATTGCTGGCCCTCAGTTAACATTATCAGATGCTGCTGAACTCTGAGAACACATCTGACAGATTTCTACATAGAGTATTGAATCATTTCCCAAATTGTTTTAATCCTAGAACACAAATAAGCTACAGAATGAAAAACGGACATTTTTTTTCGAAATAAACATCTCACCATCAGAAGTAATTAACTTTCACATTTTTCATAATGCTCCCAGGCAGCAGTTTTCAATCAGTAGGTTAACTGCCCATCAGGATTGAAGGAATTGATATAGTTTAAATCTTATGGAACTGTTGAGTGAAAAAAAAAAAAAAAACCCAAAACTCTCTTATTTGTCTTACTCTAAGAAATTATTCAGTGCTGAGCCTGGTACATATTTTTCTGGTTTAATATACTGCATAGATGGTTCTTTTTCTGTCTACATGACTGTTCTTTCTAGAACTTTTAAAAATATTAATTTCAATCTTTGTTCTCAATTTGAAAAACAAGTCTTTGCCTACATGAAGTAAAGGCCTATTGATGAAGTTTATGTTATTAAAAACATAGTGGGGGGAGTACTGTATGCTTCTGACAGCATGTGTTTATTTTGTCTTTATGTGGATTTTAACCACATACTTACAATGTTTGAAAATATTTATTCTAGCAATAATTTATAACATTCAATGTATATACTGGTCTTTTAATTTTTCTAATCATTAGACAAAATTTTGACTGTTATACATTAACATGACTTGTCTACATAGTAAGTCAAACCTGGAACTTGAAAATAATCATTTCTTAACTATCTGGATCTTGGTTTCCCTCTGCTCGTCAGGTTTTCTCATCTGGAAAATTAAGACTGAATCTGATAATCTACTAACATCTATTTCTGATGGAGTTGAGGCAAAAGAAAGTAACAGGATCTTTGATAGCAGAATAAAAGGATGTGGAAGCTTTGAATTAGACAGATCTGAGTTTGAATCATAGACACTATTAGCAGTAGGAAGTTAGATTTCATTTTACTCAATTATAAAATGGGACAAAAGTAACAGCTGCATAGAGCTCTGTTGAGATTTAAATGAGAACAAGCCTATAACGTTCCAAGCACAATTTGTGCACATACGGTATGCTGTTATAAGTGGTAGGATCATATTTTAAGGTCAAGGAAAACATAAAGCCAAGCACATGATTTGATCTAGCAATTTCCACTCTGGCACTTAGAGAAGAAATGGAGTGAGCATATCACTGTCTTTTGCCAGCAGAGATGTCCCTCTGCTGTGATGAAACTGGACCTGTCAGGGTTTAAAAAAAGAACACCATTAGAGCAAAGGCACCACATCTTGGCAAGAAATGCTTTGCATAGTTTCCACCATCACCGTCACCAAGCTCTCCTTCCCACCCAACACCCTGCTTCTATTTAAAATCTCAGGCACTTCACTGGATCACACTCATTTAAGCCAGTGTCCAGGATATTAGCCGAGAAGAAGCAGGTAGCATGGCTCCAGGAGAAAAGGAAAGGGTGGAGGGGCCAGCTAAGAGTGCCCTCCAGAAGGTACGCACTGCAACCCTTGTCATTAACTTGGCCCGAGGTTGGCAGCAGTGGGCAAATGAGAACAGTACCAGGCAGGCCCAGGAGCCTGCAGGCTGGCTGCCTGGAGGGATCAAGGACCCACCCCAACATCCTAAACCAGCGCTATACCCTACTCCTCACCAGAAAGCTCAGAGTGCCCCAAAGTGTCAACTTCTAAAGCCGGAGGAACATGGAGATGGACAAAGCTCAGAAGAAGCCACTGAGGTCTCCCATATCAAAAGGAAAGAGGTGACCAGAACAGTTGTCAGCAAGGCTTATGAGAGAGGAGGAGACATGAGCTACCTTAGCCACAGGTACGAGAATGATGGTGGCACGCCTGACTCTGGACTGCTGGAGAATGGCATTGACAGAATCCTCCACAGCCATGACTCTCCAACAAGGAGGAGAAGATGCACCAATCTAGTGTCTGAGCTGACCAAAGGCTGGAAAGTAATGGAACAGGAAGAACCCAAGTGGAAGAGTGACAGCATAGATACAGAGGACAGCGGCTATGGAGGGGAGATGGAAGAGAGGTCTGAGCAGGATGGAGTGCAGGTGGCCACTGCCAGGATCAAACGCCCCTTGCCCTCCCAGTAAGTGAATGCATCCTCCCCTTCCTTGTACCAGGATCGCTAATGGAACCCTGATCAGCAATGGGAATCCGGAGAGTAGGGGAAGTACTGCCACAGAGTGAGCATCTGAAAGCCTGGGTAGGCAGTGAGTCCCAGAAGGAAGGTGTGCCCCTGGGCTGAAAGGGCAGTGTCAACCTCAACATGGGCCTTTGGGTCCATGCCACTACTGTACACCATCTCATCTAAAAGTGGGCCCCATGTTAGAATCCTTCTCAAGTTTCCTGAAATCAGGTGAGCTTTGAATAAAGACAATTAGATTTGAATCATGCTTACTTTTTCATGAAGTTATTTTGATATTAACTATATAAAGCAATGGACTCAGGGGAACTCCTTAGTAAGTTGTGCCCATTATAATGCAGAAGGCCAGGTGATCCCAAACCTTTAAGACGATAGGGCATTTGTTCTCTGGATTTGAGGGTAGGAGGCAGTTCAATTCCTTCTTTTCTTTGGTTCCTTTCCTCAATCTTGGAGTGCATAGGTTAGTGCATTGTAGGCAGTGGCAGCATCTCTTAATGTCAGCGGCAATCCTAGCAGAAGTCTAACTTTATCCTTGAGGAGACTCTCAAATATTGCTTGAGGAATGAAACTGGAATTAAGTGCACAAGGCATTTGGTTCACATATTTTCAATTGTAGTCACCATCCTACCCCTGTCTGACAGTGCAGAGAAAGCTATTGTCATGGATAAGTAAAAAGTAGAGAAATTCTTTATCAGTAGTGGTTTTGCTAACTAGGGTTTTACTATGAAAATAGTTTATATTTTGTGCCTTCTTTAAAAATAGTCTTTGGACTGTAAGTGACTTATTCTAATTCTTTTAGATAAAGTAAGTTGGATCCTCTCTCCTAGGGCAATGGTGTGAAATTAAAGTACCAATTATTCATCCCCTCCTCCAAGTTCTGTTCAATAAAATAATAGTAGTTGAACATGAAGGTGCCATTTTATAGGGAAGGAACAGACACAAAAAAACATATTCAAGTTACAGAACCAGTAGTGATGAAGATCGGAAGGCTGCCAGACTTTTTTTTTTTAAACAAAAGTTCTTACAACATATCATAGTTGAATTCATCCCCTCCATTATTCTCCATTATCCTCTCCCCTCCATTCCTGGAATCCTTTCAACAGGTCTCATTTTTCCATTTACATACATGTGTACAAAATATTCCTACCAACCCCTAGGCAGGACCTGTTTTGACTTCCCAAGACCTTGCATTCTTAACCACCATGCTAGACTCTGACTCTTAGTAGAGGTCTACATGTCAGCTTAAATAATGGAAACCTAGCAACTTCCAAAGTGCAGGGTTTCAGTACAACCATACTGAAGGACTTCCCAAGGAATTGATGTAAGAGTGGACTCTACTATCTACTCCCAGTTCTAGGGCAGGGAACTTTTTCCTTGGATCTGGGGAGTGTTACCAATCTGCAAAGAGAATCGCAGGCTTGGTTCTCAAATCCAGTTGATAATAGAACAGAGAACATGATTACTGTTCAGAAATTGTCAAGCTGACTCTTCAACACAGCCATCCTGCTTCTGATAAATGTGATCCCTTCGATGTCATGCCCTATTAATTATATTAGCAACACACCTTCTGCAGGGAAGAACAAGCAAACCAATATACAGAGGAGCAAATCCCCCAGCACTTCCCTGCAAGGTTGGACAACATTGCTGAAATACTTTACTCACAGAGCAGGGTGCTTTGGTGGTGAGGAGAGATGTTCTTTCTACAGGAGGATGGTTGGAGAGGGCTACCACAGCCATCTCCACCTTCCTACACATCCAAGACTTAGACCAGGAGACTTACCTCTACATCCCCATGACATTTTGAAGCTGGGATGCAGGAGGAGGACACCAACTAGAGAATATTTTCAATGCCAATGTACTTGGATAGGTTAGAAATACACTTTAAAATTTTTATTTCCTGGGAGTTTTATTACAAATTTAATGACTACAGTAAAATGGGATCCCATATTCTCACCATACTGCTAACAAGCCTCATTCACATAAGAAAGCAGTACTAAGCTGATGTCGGTTGTATAACTGATACCAGGAATAATTTTCATAATTCAGCTCAGTGAATGAAGCTAAGCTTTCTAAAACAAATTGCTTAAAATATCTGGTAGAATTAGTTACCTTGCACATAGCGAGGCAGAGAAAATAAGTTTTCATTAATTATAAGAAAGTTTGTTTAGTAATAACGAGGGAACTGAGAAGATGGATCTGGTCATTGTTGCTGTCTTTAAAAAGTGCTTTGTTTTCTCTCGATTTATATTAGGTTGTCTTTTTAAAGTTCAATTGAAACTATTTTCACATTCCCACCTCAGTCTCTTCCCTAATCGGGTGCCCCAGCTTCATGTACAGCATGAGATTTGGGTTCTGCCCAGATGGCCTGGAGTTTCTTGTGATGATTACGTCTGTCATCATCATCATTGCTCCAAAGGCTCAAAAGGTTTGAACCTTTGATTATGTAGTCCATAGTGTGAGCAGTTGAACAGGGACAGTTGATGCAGAAGCAAGTGATGGTGAAGCCTAGCAGATTTCAGTGTGGAGTAGCTTTTAGCACTTTTTCATATGCATAGTGAGGTTATGTGAAAATGTAGGACTTCTGGAAACACAAGCATGGGAATTAATGAAAGTTCGCCATCTAGTGGATGTCATTCCTCTTTTGAAAACCATGTTAATATAGGTTGTTTTCTCCTCTAACTACATCTGTTTGGTGCCTGCATTTGGATGGGCTACATAGTATTATTATCAGAGGAGAGCCAACTTCTTGTTCCCATTGTGCCATGGTGATGGATGGCAAGCACAGTCCTCATAACAAGTTCAAGACCATCTAGTCAGAATTCAAATTTCATGCCATATTTGAGGCTCTGTTGTCTGCCTAGAAAGAGACTTGTAATACCTCAGAACAAAGTTTATAATAATGTCCTTGATGCATTGTTTTGCCACCTGAGCACCTCCAAAGCAAATTTCAGGAAGTGAATTTGGACAGTGACAGATACCCAACTTCAATCGTGGGTTTTGAATAGTGAATTGTGAGAGTTCATATAGCTCAGACATGCCAGGCACATAAAGAGTGTCAGTACAACTCTTAACATCTTCCAATCCCAATGCTTCCAGGTATGAGGCCACTTAGTGTTGGGGAGAATGGTGGCTTGGGTCACTTGTGATGATTAGGGTACAAAGCTGTATGTTTTACCAGTGAAGACAAAGAGACCTAGAGGAGAAAGTCAACTAGACTGGAGATACAGAAGTGGCAGGAAGGTCTTTAGGAAACAAAATTTGGCCATTTTAAAATTAGGTCTACACTCTTAAGACATTATTGGTCTATTCTGTCTAAAGCTGAGTTATGGTATTATTATCTTATCTTGTTTTTAAATAGGTGCATTTCAAATTCTGAGGACACTCACATATTTGAAGCACAACGGACTCACACATGCAGGCTGGGAGTTTTAGAAAAAACATTGCCTTTACCTTAATCCTCCCTCAGCCACTGAGTCACAGTAGTAGTATAAAGGCTCTTGAGCTAGCTTAACATTGTTCAAAACTTCCATTTCTATCACTTGATCGTTTTGTGACTTTAGGAAGTTACTTAATCTCTGGTCTCAGTTCCCTCATCTATGAAGTAGAAATAGGATCTATTATACAGAGTAGTGATGGAGAATATTAATGAAGTATTTAGATGAATGCCAGCACTGTAGTGTTCAATAAATGTTATTATTTCTAACTATTATTTTTTGTTTGTATAACTTGATGCTGTAAAGTTTGTGTATATCACTCATATTAGTATAAATATGCTTTCATTAAAAATCCATGTACGAAAATATAATACATGACTAAATACTACAATGTATGTGATGTAGTGTAAAACTGTTCTTTGGGAAACAACTGACTTCAGATGTCCTATAAAAAATGGATTCCCTAATATTTACATGATTCTAGTTCTGAAATGCTACTAAAATGCAATATCAAGATATACATATTTACATGAATCTCATGTAAGAAAGTTTTTTTCTTGAAATAAAGTTTAATATCATTATAATGTTTAAAACGTTATTATTACTAGGCACTAGAGGCTCACACCTGTAATCCTAACTACCTAGGAGACTGAAATTAGGATTGTGGTTTGAGGCTAGCCTGGACAAATAGTTCGAGAGAGCCCATCTCCAAAATAATCGGAGCAAAATGTAATGGAGGTGTGGCACAAGAGGTGGAGCAGCTGCTTTGCATGTGTGAAGTCCTGAGTTTAAATTCCAGTCCCATTGAAAAACAAAAATCCAACCAAAACAAAAACATTGTTATTCACAGAGAAATTAACCTAGAAGGACATGCCAAAACAAGAATGGTGCAAGTGTTTGCTTTTTCTTCTATGACTTCTACTTTTTTGCAGTGTGGAAGTCTTAAATTAAAATGCATACACATGGCAAGTACAAAGGAAAGTGACACTTTGGGTGTTAACATATCTTGATTCCTCACCCTCTCTCCTTTAGGGCAAACAGATATACAGAGAAACTCAACTGCAAGGCTCATCGGAAATACAGCCAGGTGAATAATTTGAAAGGGAGATGGCAACAGTGGGCTGATGAACACATTCAGTCCCAGAAGCTCAATCCCTTCAGTGAAGAATTTGATTATGAGCTAGCCATGTCCACTCGCCTACACAAAGGAGACGAAGGGTATGGTCGTCCAAAGGAGGGAAGCAAAACAGCTGAGAGGGCCAAGCGAGCAGAGGAGCACATCTACAGAGAGGTCACGGAGATGTGCTTTGTTATTCGCACCATGGCTCGCCACAGACGAGACGGCAAGGTTCAGGTCACTTTTGGAGAGCTCTTTGACAGATACGTTCGTATTTCAGATAAAGTAGTGGGCATTCTCATGCGTGCCAGGAAACATGGACTGGTGCACTTCGAAGGAGAGATGCTGTGGCAAGGCCGAGATGACCATGTTGTGATTACTTTACTTGAGTAATCAACAAAGGTCAAACTCGACCCACTACTGTCTTAAATGCTAACTGTATGAAAAATTAAAATGCAAGCTACTCTGTAACATTAGTAAATATTAAACAATTTTTACATAAATGACTTTTTGGCACCCTGTTTCTATGAGGACTCTTAAATTTTTTTGACAAAGAATTTCAGACAGCACATAGAATGTTATAAGTATGTAATCTGAGTATTAATATTTGAATTTTCACTTACATTTTAGGCAAAAATAGTTGGCTATTCCTGCAAGATTACTATTTTAAGTACATTGTGATGTCAGTCATTTTTTAGGAAAAAAGAAAATTATATTAAATTTGGTAAAACTAAACTTGAAATTTTCTAAGAGGCTTAACTTTATACTAATCTTTTTAAATCATAACATCACTTAAAAAAGAACAGTCACATAAACAAAAAGTTAAATATCAAACAACATGGTGAAATTGTTAATGTTCTCTGGCGTTTCTCCTATCTGATTTGATAGGAGTTAAATATCAAACAACATGGTGAAATTGTTAATGATCTCTGGCGTTTCTCCTATCTGATTTGAGCAAGTTACATAAAAATAGACAGTACCAGTGGTCTTAGGACCAAAAAGCAAAGTGGATGGAGACTCAGACTTGCTTATCTTGATAGGACTTCTTAGAGAAGTCTGTTTTTCCTCAAGGTCTTAATGAGTTTTGCTGTTGCATTTCTGTGAAAAGACAATGAAAGAGAAATATAAAAATTCTACCAAATGGAATGTTTAGTGTAGAAAAATCTTGTAGAATCATTAGCAAATTTGAAAACGGATTTGAGACATTTTAACTATCTTCATACTCTAAAAGAGAATACGATGAGATGAGTACAGATAATATGATGGCAGAGATAAAATTATTTGACACTAACCTATTGGTTATTAATTTTCTCCTTAGATTTAATGTGTACCATGTAATTCTACAAATAACCTGAATAAAACAGATTATAATTCTTAACTGAACTCAATGGAAGTTGCTAAAATTAAAATGATTGTAGTACCTTGGTGTTAAACACAAAAATAATGTCAAATAATTACCTTAAAATTATAGGAATTTGTAATTGTTACAAGTTAGGAATTATCTTTGTTTTCATGCATGATTCTCTTTCAAATAGAAAGTTCCAATATCTTCTTAAAGAAGAATATATATAGATAACATTTTCATACTAGATTTACAAAAGGGGGTCATTAGTTACAAATTAACATGTCTAAGTAGAATTTCACACCACATAGGATACACATTTCTGTTATAGCAGTGAAACCTATGTCAAAATTTACAAACAGCTTAAATATATTTTCTGTTGGTTTATACTATTTTTAGATTATTTTCCACAATACCATTTTCTTGAGTTTAAAAATAACAAGATTATAGAGTACAACTTAAGATATTACTAGTATCAGTATTTAGACCAAGACTTCAAAAGTTCACATATACTCAACTTTGAATAAGTTTTGGGAGGAACTGACATAGATCATTCAAAGTTTAATTTGAGTTTGAGGAGGGAGTAAAGATCCTCGTCTCAGAAAGCTGACATTCATTACCATTTCTGAATAAGGCCTGGCTCTAAAGTTAGAAAGCTGGTGTCTTTAGAGGGAAATGCTTGCTATGTGACAGACACACCCTGATAAGCAGCATGTGAGACAGGCTTCATCCTCTGTGTCTTGTAATACAGGGATAGCTCAAGGTTTGTAGATTTTTCTTACTTTATTGTATGTTATTATTTTGCTGAATATTTTATTTAATTGTAATATAATTTTTCCTACTACTGTTGCCTGATTTTGAATCTGAAAATGTTTTCTCCTCAACCAAATGGTAATTATCCTAAAAGTTCTATGATAGGGAAATTCAGTTGAAAAAACATTTTGATCAAAAAAACCCAGAGTAGAACATAGCAAAAAAGCTAATGAAAGTTCTCATAATTATTTTATAGTCACCAAAAATATAAGAAATAATATTTTAACATAGATAACTTAAATGCCCGATAATAAGTACAATTGATTTCCTTATCTTCAGGATTTTCCCTTTCCCAACTTTCAATCAAGTGTTGAGAATTTTTACACTGATATGTACTTTTTTACCCCTTCTGTCTGGACTTTCATCCGAATATTTGACTTAACTTTCATAACCTGATGTGTTATGACTTTCTAATTCCAAATTCACTTTATACCCTGAATAGGGAAGTTCTGAACAGGTTTTCTTTCTTCCCTCAGTATGGCAAAATGAGGCCGCATCTATATGCTTGGCTTGTTTTCTGCTTCTTTCTTTCTCTTCCAAATCCCAGTTTCTTCTTTTCCTAACTATTACCAACAGGCAAAATGTAAGAACACCAGAGCCATTTGTTATAATTAGGAATAATTTTGTGTAAACTAGAACTTTATGTGAATGAGAACTCACCTGGGAAAGGTTGTCTATTAGCTCACCCCATTCGGAGATGACAGAGAAATATAGACACATGGCCCATGCTGAGGAGGCATCTTCGTACAGATGCCTCCTGAGGACTCCTACAATATTCATACTTCATTCCCAGTACTGAAGACATTTCTTAGGATAAGCACAGTCAATGTTTTTAAAATTAGTTAATTTATAAATGTGCTGTCAGACGGATTAGCCTAGAAGTTTTGAGGGTATCACCTATCATCATATTATCTTATGTGCCCAGATTTGGGGGTGATGCTAGTATCTAATAAATTACAGTGCATTTATGCTTTGACCAATACCACAGTCTTAACATTGTCTTGAATATATAATTCAAGCATTATGAAAATATGTATGTGTAATACATTGTGCCTTGTTTTTAAGCACAGAAAACTGCAACGACCTAACATATACAGAGAAATGGTAGAGTATGTGAAAAAGAAACTAAGACCTGAAATGCAGCCATTTTCACTGTGCATATAGGAATATCCACATATTGGGGTATATAAATGTAAACGTTCATATAAATTATACTTTGAAGACCGAAGATAATGAGATATTCAAGTTAACTTCCTGGAGGGATGGGTAGAAATGAGTTGAAAGAGACAGGAGTATCCATGTTAGTAGTTTTGGCTTTTGGGAACTTTTAAATATTTTAGATATTTCTTGGTAAACAAAAACACACATTACTATTAGGTGCATACCAATAAGTGTGCTGGCCAAAAGTATATGTATGTTTAGCTTCAGTAGATGCAACCAAGTTTTCTGAACTCGTTGTACTTCACACTCCTTTTTAAAAGTTTTTGGACTGGAGGGGTGGCTCACGCAGTACAGTGTCTGCTTTGCAAGCATAAAGCCCTGAGTTCAAATCCCAGTCACACTAAAAATAAATGAAAAAGTAAATTAAATAAAAACAGCTTTTGCTTGGCTGTTTATTTATGGCACTGGGGATTGATCCTAGGGCTTCAGACTCTACCACTTGAGTCATGCCCCCAACCCTTTTGTTTTTGTTTCTGGCATAGGGTCTCACTAACTTGAGACCCTAGAACTAGCTGGCCTAGAGCTCAATCCTCCTGCCTCCACTTCTCAAGTAGTTGGGATTACAGGTGTGTACCACCATGCCCAGAAATTCATTTGGCTATTTTAATACTCTTGGTAATTGGCTCATTAAAGTCCTGTGACTTTACTTAACTCTTTTCTTAAGGAATTGTCAGTTATATTTTATGGAGATGAGTCTACATGAGAACTGTGTATTGCAAAAACCCTCCAGTTATGTTGGATGTCTTTTCAGTCTTAATGATAGTTTTTGATGAACCAATTACAGTTTTAATGTAGTATAATTTATCTTTGCTTTCTTTTATACTTGGTGCTTTTTGTGTCCCAATTAGGAAACAGATCCCATTCAAAGGTCATGAAAATATTCTCTTATTTTTAAACAGAATCTTTATTGTTTTACTTTCCACAATTAGGTATACAATCAGTAATTTTTATTTGTGGTGAGTGAAGATTTTTGTTCAATACAGATATCCAATTAACCTAGCACCATTTACTGGGAAGAGTATCTTCTCTACTCAGCAGCAGTTTCGCCTTTTTTAAAAAATCGGTTTGTTTCTGGACATCTGACCAATACAAATATCAAAGACTTTCTTACTCAGCTTTTTCATAAATCTTGGTATCTGTATTAAAGATCAATCCCTTTCATGATGATGCCTTACCTATTCTGTGCCTTTACATTTCCATATAAATCCTAGAATCAGCTTTTCACAGAAATAAGGCTGAGTGACATTTTCATTGCTAATAGAGAGCTGACATCTTCTAATGTTATCTGGCAATCACAAATATGTTAGAAGCTTCCCGCTGTAGGTCTTTATTTTTTGGTTAGTTGATATTTTCAATGTTATTACAAACAATATTTTAAAATTTTCTACATTCATACATAAAAAATAAGAGATTTTGGGTTTTTTTTTTCGAGTATTCAGTGATCAACTAATTCCAATAATTTGACCATTTTGGAATTTTCTGTCCATACCACCACCATATGCAAATGACATTTAAACTTCTTCCTCCCAGTTCTTAGGTGTTTTCTTTTTCTTGCTTTAGTGCACTGAATAGAACTTCTAAAACAATGCTGAATAAAAATGGCATAGAAGCCATCATTTTCTGATTTTCTATTTCTGGAAGCTTTTAATAATTCACCACTAATATGATTCCTGTATAGTATTTTTTTCATTTTTACTATGATCTTTAAAAAAGTTTTATATTTTGAATTACTATACATTAATACAGGGGGGTTTCATTGTGGCAACTCTACGTACCTGTTCAGGGCATTTGAGTAAGTTTACCCCTCCCTTATATTCCCATTCTTCTCCCTTTGTCATATTTGGTGGGTTTCACTATCCTGTCTTTGAATGTATACATGCAGTGTTCTTCCTCTTACCCCCTCTGTATCCTTCCCTTTTCCTTTCCCACCTCTTGCTGATCCCTTTCACATTCATGTCATATTATCATCCTTTTAGGTCTAGTTCCACAAATGATTGAGAACATAGGCTATTTGGCTTTTTGAGCTTGGCTTTTCTCATTCAACATGATCTGCAATTTTATCCATTTTCCAGTAAATGACATAATTCCATCTTTATGGCTGATACTTATGGGGTATGTGTGTGTCTGTGTATATACCATATTTTTATCTGCTTGTTGGTTGTTGGGCACCTTAACTAATTCATTTACCTATTGTGAACAGAGCTGCAATAAATATGGGTATACAGATATCTCCCTTGTATACTCATTTATACTCCTTCATATATAAGCCCAAGAATGGTATAGTGGGATCATGAGGTAGTTTCATTTTTATTTTTGTGAAGAACCTCCATACTAATTTCCAAAGTGTTTGCACCAGTTTACATTCCAACAGTGTATGAAGGTTCTTTTCCCCAACATCCTGGCCACCATTATTTTTTCTTAAGGATTCCAAGTCTGACTAGAGTGATGTTTCCGGCTTTGACATCCACTACCATCCTGCCTACATTTTGCAGAAGGTGTGCCACAAACTCTTGATATGGCTCATCAGGACCTTAGAGAATGCTAGTTAATTCAAAGTTATTTTCTCCTTCCGTGGGTAGTTCTCACCTTGCCCGTGCCTGCAATGGCAATCTGCTGATATGCTTGAGGGGGATACTGAAATTGATTATCTACACCTTCCCCGGAAAGGTCCTCCTCCCATGAGCGTATCTGTAGTGATCTGCAGTCCATGGGCCAAATTATGGTTTGTCTGCTCCTGACATAACTCTGTAAAACCTGTTTTCCACAGCAAGTAATCTGGAGAGAGGCATGCTTTAGCCAGCCCTGTCCAGTAGTCTGGAGGCATAGCAGTATCTCCTTCCACACTTTGTAACAGCCCCAGCGTAAATGGCGCTGTAGAACCATACATTGCACAGGCTTGTTTTACCTCCTTTAAAGTTTTAAATGGAATATTTTCATGAAATCTCTGTTGCATGCCACGGTTGTTAGGATCTGGTCTCTCAAGCACAGGGTAAAATTTAAAACCAGCTGTATCCTCTCCTTGACTACGAGCTGCCTGGAAGGCAGCCTGCAGGGGACTCTTAGTAGACTCTTAGTAATGAGTAGGAAGTCTCTTGGCCCACGGAGGTTAACCCCAAAGGCATGGCTCCCAGTGCTTGATGGGCTGGAGCATCAAGCACTGGGAACCTTCTCATCTGAAGAATGACCCTTCTCATCTGACACTGAATCAGAATCTGAATCATCTTTCGACTAAAATTTAAATTCATGTGGAAACTTATCTTCGTAAGGTGGGGCTATGGTTCAGCAGCTCTGCCACCTGTGCATTTTGTTCCTTCAAGGGATACTGCCTCTTACACTCCTTGGATGCCTGATTGTAAGGGGTGAGTCCCACATCCCGGCTTGAATACCGAGGAGGAAAATTTTTCTTTATGTGAGGGACTAGGCTCCAAACAATTTTTAATCATAGACCACAAACCAAAAGTAAAAATGGGCATACATTCTGGCCCTCAGCCGTATATCTCACCCTCAGCCCATCTCCTACCTTGTTCCATGTTTCTAAATTTACAGTGCCCTCCTCAGGGAACCACGGGAAAGGATCGTGCACAAAATCTAAAAACCGCATAAGCTGAAGTGATCTGACTCTGCTTCCTCTAATCTTTAGCACAGCTTTTAAAGCCTCAATCCTTAGACTCACACTGTCCCATGTTTTTACACCTCGCTATATTCAGTTCACTCTCCCCCTCACCTTACTTCTTTTCTATTACATCTTACGTGCACGCTTCTCAGAGAATGTCTCCTTGTCTCAGGCTTCAAGTTCCCCCATATTTAGGTCCCTGTCCAGGTGTCACCTCTCATGTACCGCATGAGCTCGTCCTAGAAACCTAACTGGAGGTAACAGGAGATGCAGAAAGGACAAAAGACAGAAGACCAAACATACACAAAGCTGGGGCCAGGTGGGTTGGGCACTCAGGTGAAGACACACAACACCCCCTCCATCTCCAGTGAGTTTATTATATATACGGAGAGGCAGTTCTCCAGGGAGAGAGCATGACATTGCAATCTTTGGGAACAGGAGAAACCTGTGACCGCTTTTTTCTGAGTGTAAATATCTTAGGAAAAACAGCTGTGCTGCATCTTGCCCTCTTCTGAGGCTGGGGCCATGCCAAACGCAGCCTGCAGTATATTTGACACAGCTGTGCTTATGTACTCTGCTCTCCACAGAGATGGGATCTTGGTGCAGGTTTGATTTGCATTTCCTTTATGGCTAAAGATGTTGAACATTTCATTATAGTACCATGCTGTTTTTATTATGGCTCTGTAGTATAATTTGAAATTTTGTAACTTAAACAGAGCATTGCTCTGGTTGCCTAGGTTTACTTTTGCTATTTGGGGTCTTTTATGCTTCCGTATGAATTTTAGGATTGATTTTTCTATTTCTCTAAAGAATGACATTGGAATTTTGATGGGCATTGCATTGAATCTGTGGATTGCTTTCAGTAACAGCCATTTTCACGATATTAATTCTGTCAGTCCATGAGCACGGGAGATCTAGTCATCTTATGGTGTCTTCAAGTTCTTTTCTCAAGGTTTTTGTATGCAAGGTTTAACTATGCCTCCTGTCCACATATTTTAAACAGATTCTTTTTAAAAATCATATACATGTATAAAAATAAAATGCTTATTTTTGTTGCTTCTACACAGATGAGCCTCTTCTCCTCTACAGTAAATGGTATCAAATTAAAAATTTTACAGCGGAGTGCAGTGGTGCAAGCCTGTCATCCTAGCTATTCAGGAGATGGAGATTGGGAGGTTCAGTTTATGGCCAGTGAGGATGAGCTCAAGAGACCCCCATCTAAACAAATGACTGAGGACTGTGGTGCATACTTGTCATTCCAGCTAAGTGGGAGAAGCACATATTGGAGAACCTCAGTCCAGGCTGGTCCAGGCATAAAATGAGACTCTAAAATATACCCAACACAAAAAGGGCTGTGGGTGTGGCTCAAGTGGTACAGCACTGACAAATGAAGCTGGGAGTTCAATCCTTAATATCACCAAAAAAAAAAAAACCCCCAAAAAACAAAAAACAAAACTGCTAATTACTCTTGTTAAAATAATTTGATTATGAAGTATTATTTTATGTTACCGAATTTCATTGTAAGTTTTGTTTAGAATTTTGCATGTATGTTTCTGAGATTTTTTTCTCTAATTTCACTTTTTTGTGAAGACTGAATGTTTTTGCATCAAGGTCATGCTGGTCTCAAAAAACAAATTTGAGAAGTGCTCTTTCCTAAGTATCCTAGAAGAACTGATCTAAGACTAAGATACATTTCTTTCCTTAAATCCCTGAAAGAATTACTTAATGGAACCATCTGGACCTGAATTTTTTTGTGAAACCTTTTTTTTTTTTAATTAGTAGATTCAAGTTGTATAATAGAAAAATTTTATTTCTTAGCTTGTTTCATAAATTGTTTTCCAAAAGGTCTCTTCATATCCTATATATTTCTCAATATATTGACACAGATATTCGCAATGTCCTTCTATTTCTTAATGTCTTTTAAGTTCTTCATATTTACTCTTAATCCTTTTTGTTAATTTTGCTTGACATATAAAACTTGATTATTCTCAGAGATTTAGTTTTGTACACTTAATTTTATTGATTTCTGTTCATATCTTTTTGATTCAATTTATTTTAACTTTTTTTTTTCTTTTAACTTCTTGAGACATAATCTTAGAGCCTGTTTCTGCCTGTCAATTTTGTTAAACCACAAGAATCAATCTCAAGAACCCTCTTTTTAATCTAGTCTGTAATCACCAAAGGGCATGTCACTGATAGGTATAACTTCAAATCTACTTGTATATTGTTGCTTTTTATTAAACTTCCCTCCCTCCTTCCTTCCTTGATACATTGGGGTTTGAACTTAGGGTGTTGCACTTACTAGCCTGTTGGTCTACCACTTGAACCATATCTGCAGCCACTTCTACTTTAGGTTATTTTTCAGAAGGGTCTCATGTTTTTTCCTCCAGACTAGTCCTGTACCATCAGTGATCCTCCTACCTATACCTCCCATGAGGTTGGGATGACAGGCATGTTACCACCATTCCTAGAGCTTGTTGGCTGAGATAGGGTCTTTCTGCTTTTGCATAGGCTGGCTTTGAACCTTGATCCTTCCTATCTCTGCCTCCTGGGTAGCTGGGACTAAAGACATGAGCTACCGTACCCAGCTTAATCCTTACAGCATTTTTTATCTTTCAAAATAGGATACTAAATGTCCCCTTCAAAATAATTCTCCAATATCTCACAGCTTGAGTCCATAAGGACTTTGTTCCACCATCTGCTGATTGTTTTCCCCATTTGTACAGTGGTCATCTCAATGACTAATTATATCTAAGTTCCTAAGTCGAAATCCTGAGAAGTAACCTTAATGCTTTCTAACATCCAATCAATAACCAATTCCTAAATGTCTTTCAAATCCATGATGCCCTCCTTATCACCGCTACTACTATTTTTATTCAGACTTCATCATTCTTCCTTTGGATTTTTAAATAGGCAGTTTACACAGAGATTCTTCCTAAAGTGCAAATCTGATCATATCATTCCTCCATCATGAAGTTCTTAATTGTTCCTATGGGCTTTAAAAAAAAAACAAAGAAACTTCTTGGTATTGCACACAACAAAGCTCTTTATGACACAGGCTTTATCTTATTATATACTCACCACTAAGAATGAAAACACACTACAAAAACAGCAAGTGAGTTTATTTCCTCATGTGTCAAGTGCCCTCTCTTATCTCCATTATTAAACTTAGTGCTGCCCCAGATGAAAACGTCCTTCTGTCAACTATCACTGCCACCACCACCACAATGTAGCTATTACAAGCATTTCTTAAGAGAGTAGTATGCTTAATAAAGATTTCTTAAGATATAAAAATAACTTGGTCATTGAATAAATCCAAACTTATCTGTATTTATGCATTTAATTTTATTTGATATACACAACTATGACTTTATTATAGTTGAAATCCATTACAGGATTTAAAAAATTCTTTTTATTTTATGATTAGTCAGCTCCACAAAGACAATAATACTGCTGTGGAAGACCAAAGGGAGGAAATGATATATTTATTTACAGTTCCCTATATTGTAAACATTTAATCTATATACTGTTATTTAACTTAAAATAAGACAGTTTTACATAGACAAGAAAACGATGCCCTGTATTTCTATTCATATTCAGCAACAGCATAATATAATAGAACATCAGATTTTCTTTTGGATTTGCATTATGCTTTCTTTAGATAATTACCTATCTTTCAAAAGAACTAGATATATTTTAGGTGTTATACAACTAAAACTACTTAAGCCAAATATTTGGCTTATAATTTTATTTTTAGAATAATTTAAAGTGCTATAAGCAATCTGGCAATCAACACTTTCTATAAGAACAAAACTACCTTTAAACATTAATTTACAAGATATACAATGTTTATGTGGAATAGCTGAGATTTCAGCACAAAGTCACTGTCACATGTATAACAGCAGGATTTTTTTTTTTTTTGCATAACATGAAGCTCTGAAATTTAACTGGTGAATTATTGCCACGATGGCTTATTGTTGGTTTCCTACAAAAGAGGATAAGAACTACTAGTATATTCTATCTTTTCAGTTTTCTGAGGTCACTTGACAATAAGTTTGCATATTCACCAAGTCTACAGAGTTACAATATTGTCTACTATGAGTTACAATATTGTCTATGATAATCGCTGCCCTTCTATAAGAGCAAAAGCTAATAATGGTAATTAACAACATATACCACTAAAAAAAAAAAAAAAAAAAAAAAACCAAACAAGCTGTTTTTTTTCCTTTTGAACAGAAAAAAAAATCTCTATTTTTGGAGTTGGTATGCAACAAGGCTAAAACAACAGAACTATAAACCAGTATACCTGACACGATATGTTGGAGAAATATGCATATTTCATAGTTTTTATACTTATGACAATGCCCTAAGCTACAAATATATAAATAGTATAATTTCTTGCTTAATATATTAAACCCAATAGAATCACTAAGTTCTCGTTCTCCTTTGTCAATTTATAAGTCTTTATCTGATAATTCAATGATGAAAGCATCTGCCCAAACCTGCAGATCATGTGCACAGTGGTCTCATACAGTCAGAATTCTCCTCAAATTTCATTTCCATAAAATGAAATTGAGAATACTTGAAAAATTAATAAAGAGAATGCTGTAATGTAAATCAGAATTAGAACTCAGTGGTCTATGAAGTATGTATTATTTTGGCATGTGGTTTCTCCGTAAAAATAAGATAAGCAGGTGCAAATGTCACCTGTGCCAACCTCACAGTATGAAAGCATCTAGACTTAATTTCCTCCATGTCCCAATTATACTGCTCTACAAAAGAAACAACACAGTTAAAAAAAAGTTCAACAGAAGAGCACCATCCTATTAGGGGATTGCGATAAGGTGAATTGAAAACGAGGTGGTCACTATGATCAAAATTCGGACAAAACTCAGCAATTATACTACATGGATTCAGGCCATAGTCTAAACCTAAAGAACTCTGGGACAATAACATGATTTGAAAAATAAACTCCAAAATTATAGCTGTAGTTAATGGTGATACACATTAATTTTAAAGCACAAGTGACATGTTATATTGTATTGCTTCTTGAACATTCCAAACAGTGCTTGTCCATGTCAGGTTTGGGCCATTATCCTGCTAAGACTGAAAGCATTGTATTTATTCAAAAGCCCAGATTTCAATGTCTTGGATAAAGAAATCTTCCTTCTTAGAAAGTGTATGATTCCCAAACGTTTTACAAGAATGGCTTCTTCCATGGTAGAGATCTCCATCAAGCCAAAGGGCAAATTCTCCTCTGTAATACATAAAAATAACACTCTCTTAAAATTCATGCCCTAAATTATAAAATAATTTGAAGCATTTCAGTTATTTAAAACCCAAAGATCATTAATTTTTCTAAGCCCTTCCCTACTCCTTATGACACCAATACAGAAATTTTCTTTTGTTCATATCCCATTATGAAATCACTCATTGCACAGATTAAGGAATAAAGTGAACTCACTAAAATTAACTTCAAATAGAATTAGCTTTTTAGACATGCACTACACTGTTATTCTTCACTTGGTTTTATGAGTTACTCTCTTCTTCTTCTTCTTAATTGTTTTTGTGTGGATGGGCTGGCGATTAAACCGAGGGTTTTGCACATGTCAGGCAAGTACTGTACCACTGAGCTACATATCCCCAGCTCTTTTTCCTTGATAATATCATTTTAATATATTTAATATGACTTTCTTTAACATATGAAACTCTGAAACATCTAAAATAAAATGTGGGGTTAATGTTAAAGGCCTGGTAAATAAGGCTATATTTCTTGGAGATATTTAGAAAGAAAATTTTGTTATTAAAACAGATTATCAGTATAGGCAACTAGAGTTTATTTTTTCTTTAACATGTTCAACTTTGTAAAAACCTTTCTGGTTTTCTGGATAGGAAATGGTTAGCCAAAGAGCTCGGTTTGAAAAGACTCTGAATGGATGAAGAGATGATGCTGAGGTTCTTTATAAGCATCAGGAACAAGAGAGAAGCCAGGTATAACAAAAACTTAAAGGATAGATAATAAGGTTTGATTTATCTAATTAGAATACACAAACTTAGGAGAAAAAAATAGGTTTTGACAGATCTTCTTTCTACCCAACAGGGAACTTCTTTCTACCTAACAGAAGAGGGGAGGGGACAAAGAGTAATCACTAACATAATACACAGAGACATCCCCTGAAGAGTCTCCACATTTTAGATATCAAACTAGCAGAACTGACTCAAGGACGACTTAAAAAAATGTGTAGTTATATTTCATTAAAAAAAAAAAAACTGGTCTAGCATTAAGATCTATTTGTAGACCCAGGGCCACTATCTATGTGAAACTGGGTTAAGTCACTTAACATCTCTGGAATGGAATTGGTCAATTATATAAAACACAGGAAAAAAAAAACCAGATTAGGTAATTTCTAAAGGCCAACAGAACTCTAAAATTTGAATAGACATGATAACTTCTAACCTTCAGGATTACTAGTAGCAGGTACATGGTGTTATAAAGTTAAATGAAGTGTTTGGAAGATAAATCTATTGTTTTAAAAAAAACCATCTTCAAAGAAAATAAAGGAGTTGTTTATATTCTGTGTCAAAAACAACAGATAGTTAACATATATTAATTAAATACATATTTCTAGGCACAGAGATATACTTGTGTATAAGCAGAAAAAAGTAGCAACATTGAATCGTTCCCGAGAGTTGGTGCTTTACAAATAGAAAAGATTAAACAGTAAGGTCACACACAATACAGAAGTCATCCAGTGTTACTCAGGAAGAGAACTGTACAGAATAAACTATAATGGGATAACCTGTGATAAAGCTTACTAAACCTTCTCTATAAATGAAAACATTATTTTGCTATGACACAAGATGACCCTGAAATCATCCCAGTCTGGAATCTATGATTTGAAAGCAGTGTAAAAAATACATGGTCTCTAAAATGGACTCTCCATGAGGAAGCCATTAATTTTCCAAGGTTCAAATTGGAATTCATATTTGAGTGTTTATTTGGTGCACTTTAAATGTGCACATATTATGCAATCAGAACCCTGGCACTGGAAAACACAAAGAAATTAGAAACTGTATAATTAGAGCTCGCTGTCTTAGGGCAATAGATTTCTAGAGTCCACAATGACATCAATTGACCTTTAAATAGATATCTGAATTCATGTGTCTTTTAAAGTGGGGATAGACTATTGTAACAATCTGGTAGAAGAATACAAAAGGGCTAAATTTCCTTGCAAAACCTTTTGCCAAACAGGAAAGTCTTTTTATGGCAGTACTGGTTTGACCTCAGGGCCTAGCACTTTGCAAGGCAGGCATGCTACCACTTGAACCATGCCTCCAGTCCTTTTTGCTTTAGTTTTTTTGTGAATAGGGTCTCCCGTTTATACCCAGGCCAGTCTGAATGGTGGTCCTCCTATTTATGCTTCCCAGATAGCTGAAATGACAGGCATTCATCACAACACCCAGCAACTGGTTGAGATGGAGTCTTGCTAACTGTTTGCCCAGGTTGGCCTCAAACTATGATCTTCCTGCTCTCCACACTTCCCAAGTAGTTAGGATTACAAGCTTGAGCCATCAAGCCCAGTAGAAAGTTCTTTTATTTTTTTTTTAAACATTTAATAGTAATCTCAGATGAATGGATATAAGAACTACCTCAAAATTAACCTATGTTTCTTCATAAATGGCATTAATTATGCAATAAGCTTTATTAGCATGTATGAATGGTTTTTTCCCATGGTAACCTGAATTTTCTGAAGCCCTAGTTGAAAGGTTTTGAGATTTTGTCAATTTAACAACAGATGTAAAATTGGTTTGTATATTTATTTTAGGGTTCCAAGGGGGCTGTGACCTCTAAATATTTAAGTAAATCATTTAAGGGCAGTTGAAACACACAGAAAGTATAATTTTACATAAGCAATTCTTTCAAAGATGATTCAGACGATTTTCTGAGAACTGTGACTAAGGAAGTGGAAGAAATAAAAATATTCTAAATTCACATCTAATGTCATCTAACTCCTATGTTCAATGGCATTGCAAGCAGATCCCAGGCAGAATTCTTGCTATTGGTACCAGGGAGGAAAAGGTAAAGTGGACAGAAGGAAATGAATAATGATGGCTATCCTTGTTGAGTATCAACCTTAACCATGTGGTAGATGCTATATTAAAATTTGTACAGATATCTTTGTGAATTTCTGACACCCCCATCTCCCCATAAAGGCAAGTTAATCTCCAGAATTTATAGCTGAGGGAAGTTGAGAATGTTATGTTTGCTCAAGGACTCACATATGGTATATTCTGAAGCTGGAATCAGAATCAGGTCTATCTGATTACAAAGCCTACATTAAGTATACCATACCATGATTTTGATTTTTGAGGTGTGCTGTGGTTTTGAGTGTGTTCCCACAAAGGTTCATGTACTGGAAGATTGGTCCTTAGTGTGACTATGTTGAGAAATAATGGAAATTTAAGGGTGTGGCCTGGTTAAGTCACTGGGGGCACCAGTCTAAGTAGAGATAATTAATGTAGTCCTCATGGGACCTCGAGTAGGTCCTGGGAAAGTGTGTTGTTAGAGCAAGATTGGCTGCTGAACCCCTTTAGAGTCCTGTCTTGCCATGTGATCTCTTCTGTACACAGTCATTTCCCTTCCCATTTCTTTGCCATGTTGGCTTCAGCCAAGAGGCCCCTATGAAAGGCCAAACAGGGCCTCCCAATCTCAAGACTTTTAGCCTCCAAATTTTTTTACTCTTTTCTTTCTAAGAACCCAGCTTCAGGTATTTGGTTATAGCAACAGAAGATACATTAATATAAGGGATGCTGAACAGAATTCCAGAATTTTAAGTCCCTGTAATTTGTTTTCTGAAAAATGCATGGTTCTTCTCAAAGATGGGAAACTTGTCTTCCTATCAAATGACTCAACAGTTAGTTTAGCTTAGTGGAATCATGCGACACAATCAAAATCTAATTCAAGTAGACATCTTAATGACACTGAATGTGTTATTTTCAAAGGTACTCATAAGAACCTGAAACCCACTGTTGCGGGGTACCTATGGCTTATACCTGGCTACTTGGGAGGCTTATATTGGGAGAATCAAGGTTTGAGGTTAGCCTGGGCAAACAGTTTGCAATACCCTACCTCCAAAATAACCAGAGCAAAATGGACTGGAGGGGTGGCTCAGGAAGTAGAGTACCTCCTTTGCAACTTCACAAGTGGGAAGCCTTGAGTTCAAACCCCAGTCCCACCAAAAAAACCCACAAAAAACAAAAAACCGTGACATTTTAACACTTGATTGTTAGTTGTCTTTGGAAAGCTAACAAAAAACATGTGAAATGTGTGATTACCACTTGAGGGAGGGCTGAATGGCACTTTCTCTACACAAAAAAGTTAGAATTGGACCATGTTAACATTATATGATGAGTCTAACAACTAAAAATAACTGAGAAGGTTACAATAACTATACTTACTTTCAATCACTGTAATTATGTCTTCCAAACACCTATTACAGAGAAGATGAAAGAAATTTGCTTGATCACCTAGGATGATGAATATTCTTGAAGGCTAACAAGATTTTTGTGGCCAGAATGAATTAGTATTATATATCCATAATTGTAGGATACATATATGGCAACATTTTTTACATCTGGGATTTGGCACAACTTATTTCTGACATTGAAGGATTAAAAAAAAAAAAACCTAAGGAAGGAACTGATGCCAGATAAGCACTATTTGAGAAGTACAGGAAATGCAGTAGCAGAACATGCTATCTCTGAACATTGAAGTCTAAATGAAATTGCAGTATCAGGATAAGAAGACACAGATCTTCAGAGTGCTTATTATGCCAAAAGAATCAAATTGATTCATGCAGTTTAAACAAAAAAAGCCAACAATAATAAAAACCTGAGGGTCACTAAAGTCTTTTGTGGGAAAATAAAATTTTATATTGTTTAAAATGATCCAAATAGTCTCCAGAGGAAAAATCACAAGAATACTATTGGGAGAAACAACATGCTACCATGTTTATTTGAAAATTTGAGAAGCCTGAAGGTACTGTCATAGTTTCCTTTCAAGTAGCGAAAAAGCCAATGTACTCTAAAGAAAAAGATACATTTTAAGGAGAATCAACAAGGGTGGATGGGGAAATGAAGGAGAATAGTGGAAGGGGATAATTCAAGTATGATATATGTGATGTATTATAAAAACCTTTGCAAATGCTACAATGTACCCTTACTTAACACAACAATAAAAAAAAAAGAGAATTAACTATATAGTATTTCATAACGAAGAAACACACACAACCAACAGTTCAAGTACTACACTTGAGCACCTTCTTGTAAATACACTTTCTTTTCTATAATACTCAAGACTTTGGTTTCTAGTAGCAAACTTTCCAATGATAAGTAATTTTACAGTACAAATAAATTTTTTAAATTTATGTAAGAATCTCAGGGTGAAATGATCAAGATACTTACCCTCCACCACCAAAAGCTAGTGAATCCATGTCTCCTTTGATAAAAAACATATTATCTCCTGTCCACTTAAAGACCTACATGAATGGAAAAAAGCTTTAAATAAGTAAATAAATAAATAAATATGAAAATGGCCACAAAACACAGCTAGTTCTCCAAAACCTCAAACAGTTAACAAAGTCTGCAGACAGTATCAGGAACAGCACACAAAAGCTGATACTGTAGGTTTCAGTGTTTATATGACTAAACCTGAAAGTACATGCTCTACTGTACTAACTACTTTTAATTCTAACTCCTCAGATCTTGTTAACTCTTCACACATACTTCTCTTTCTCCTTTCTCCCTTCTGCCTCCCTCTCTCTCTTTTGCAGTACTGGGGTTTGAATTCAGATACTCACTCTTGCTAGGAAGGCACTCTATCATAAGTGAGCCATGCCCCAGCCATGCCCCAGACTGACATCAGACCATGATCCTCCTACTTACAGCCTTCCCTGACCTGGGGCCACAGGAGTGGGTCTACTATATCTGACTTACTGAGGTGGAGTCTCACTAACTTTTTGCTTGGGCTGGCCTTGCACTGTGACCCTTATCTCCACCTTTTGATTAACTGGGATTACAGGCATAAGTCCCTGCATCATGCAAATTTCTCTCTCTGATATTAACTGTTTTCCTTTAACCTAATTAAACATAAATGTCAAGGTCTTTTTTTCGGCAATATTCTGTTTATCATTCTTACCATGTTCACGACGTATAAATATGATTCCAGCCTATATTTTTCTAAAGAACAATACTTTTCTAAAGAAAATATCTGACAGCTGGGTGCAGTGGCTCATGCCTTTGATCCTACTTACTAGGGAGACTAAGCCAACCAAAAGCTGGGCTTGATGGTATGAGCCTTGTTATCTTATCCTTCCCGGTTATGAAAAGTATAACTAAAAGAACTGTGGTCCAGGCTGGCTGGGCACAGTTTAGCTATTAAAAAAATAGCTAAAGCTAAAAGAGTTGGGGGAATGGCTCAAGTGGTAGTACAAAGTCCTGGGTTCAAGCCACAGTACTACCAAAAAGAACAACAAAAAACCCAAGAAATCTGAGGGCAAAATTAAGCATTAACACTCAAGTATGTTTCTAATCTTTTATAGGTGTTTTAACTAAACCTAATATAATAGTATCTATCACATTTTTCAAAAGTATTCCTTATAGTTCTTAGTAACTTTCTTTTAACACTCATACTTCAGTTGTTTGTCATTTAATTAATTATAGTTATTAAGAAGCAATAGCATAAAAAGGTTTGAAAGTGAGTACAATTGAAGCTTAAAAATTTTGTCACAACTATGAGCTTTCAGTTAGCTGTTTATAGAGGGCACAGAAGATATTGGTTCTGTTGAGCCAGTTCAGCACAGAATGTTAAAGGGAACTTCTCTTGTCCTATCATATCCTTTCTATTTTGTTCATTACAGAAAACTGCTAATAAAAACAATGTTTTTCAACCAAGTATGTTGATCGCTTCTTTTACTAAGATTAAAACATAATTTAACTTCTGAGGGAAGACTTAACACATTGAACCTTAAATGTTCCTGGATGCTAGATTTGCACCCAATGTTTTAAGAAGAGTTACATGTGGCCCACATAATGTATATGTATATAAGTAAATGCAAAAATGATTTAAAAAAGAGTTACATGTCCACTAATTATACCCTTAAACTTCAGATTTATTGGCATTGAAATGTATTCAATTTAAGTGAGTCAAGCCAAAGTAAAGACAAGATAGCCACACAGGGTAAGAAAAAGAAATCAGTTAACTTTTGATTTAAATCAAAATAATTTGGTTAATGAGTTTTTAAAACTTAAATCATTCAAATTAGTTATAATATCATTCCTAGGAATTTCACAATGACAATTCATAAACAGAATAGTGATAATGATGTACACTCTTTGCCAAGTCCATGATGTTTGTGTCTGGTAGAATGTCAAGTGCAGTACATATATGATTCTCATTTAATTTTCAGATAATCCTTTTCCTCATTCTATCTACAGAAAAGCTGAAGTTCAAAATAGTCAAGTTGGGAGTTAAATGTAAACATGCACAATTCAAAGTGTGTGGTCTTTTCATTAGGCCATCTCTCTATATAAATGGAATACTGGAATAATTGTCCTTACCTCAAACTCTGGACAGAATGTAAAAACAAAGGTCTCTCCAGTACCGTAAAAGCCATCACTTACTTTAAATGGCTCAGATGCTAATGCACCAAAAACCTAAGGATAAAAAGGGCATGTTCAATGACATGACTATTAATTTAGTTCATCAAGCATTACCCTTCATTGTATATAATTGAATAAAATGCAAAAAATTGGAATCAGGAATAATTTTACCTACTTGCACTTAAAAATAGGAAAAAAATTAATTATTACATAAATTCATGTTCCTGTCAAGTATACACAGTGTATTAGTTTCTCAATGGGGGAAAAGATTTTTTCTAGTTTTGAAATCCAAAAAGGTATTATAGCAATTATTCAGACAGTCTTAAAAAGTGGTTAACACATTTCAGGAAGGCTTACATGCACGATGTATGTATTATAAGGATAACATGGTGCTGTGCTATGAGATTACAGTGCTTCAGTTTAGATAAACATTCCACTACTACTAAAAAGTAAACTCTTCTTTTCCTCATCAAGGCAGAAAGTTCTGTAAAGGTAGGCTTTGGACTGAATTATTTGGTCCTTTGATCCCATAGCTCTGTACAATATAAGACACAGTAGATGTCATAATAACAAAATAAGCAAAATACGAGACCTGGATATGTCATTTCAGTATTCTAGTCTAAGGCTCCAATTGTAAAACAAGAGTGTAGAGTCTGACAGATCATCTCTATAGTCATTGTTTCTCCTGAAATTCTATTTGTACACCCTGCATTTAAAAATTATTCTTATACTGAAAGGTTATTTTACATATAGAGAAAAGTACACAAAATATAAAGTACAGCTCAATTTAAAATGATCACAAAGCAGAAGTCCCATGTATGATTCATTCAGACAAGACACAGAACATTACAGCACTTGAAGCTCTCATAACTCCTCTCATCAACAGCCCCACCTCCCTGAAGGAAGCAACTACCTGACACCACCAGAGATTCATTTTGCTCATTAATGAACTTTGTACAAATGGAATTATAAAAAGTTATTCTTTACTGTGGGATTTTAAAGTCAATATTATGTTTATGACATTTATGCTATGACATATAAGAGTAGTTCATTCATTGTAATATGTGTAAAATACCTTTTCTTTGGTATATAACCTTGTAGAAATTAACTCTAAAACAGGGATAACAGTATTAATCTCATACTGTTTTTAATGACTAAATAACAATGAAGATAGAATAATCAGTCTGGTACCTGGCACATAATAAACATGTAAAGATAGTACTACTAGTGTTCTGTTTTCGTTGATAACTGCTATTTCATCCTCTCATTATTCTCCAATGCTGGTAACTGACCTGCATTTACTATATTAAGAACAAACCAATGGTATTCTCTCTTGACTATGATTTTGTCCTATTATCACCCTCAAACAAACATTTACCATTAATTATCAAAATTTTAGCTTTTACACTTTCCATGAGTTTCACTGTAATCTCTCTCCCAGATATGAACCACTCTTACTTCAAACAACCCTTTTACTTTTTCTGGGCAACTGCTATATTTAGTATATTTTGCTCAGCATTACAGACATTGGTGTAATTAATTGTCCTTTTCTACTACACTCTCTCTAAAGACAGAAACTCTTAGTTAGTCATACTTATATTTATCCTCTGTAATAGTCAGTACTGCCTTGTTTGCTAAAAGTACTCAATAATTATCAGTTACATAATAAAAAGTACTAATGAAATCATTTTTATCAAAATAGTATATTAAAAGCTATAATTACTATAATTTCTTAAAGGCTAAGACATCTATACAGCTAGTTTTTCATACCTGTCCATCACTGTCTTTAATCACCATCAGCACTGGGGTGTCTAAACCTGTCATTGTTCGATAAAGGGTCTTCAAACTTGTGCCATGCTTCCCAGTACCATAAACAAGAGTCCATGGATAGCCAATAGTTCTTGGCGGAAGATGCTTAGCAAGCTTAGAAAAACAAAATGTTACTATTTACGTGATAGCTTATTGTCAATATGGAGGACGCTATAAACATGTGATATTTAATTACACACGTAAAATGTAGGTTACAAGAAGAAAATAACAATAGAAATTATTTATTACATGCAAAGATCCTGAGATGCCTAAAAAGTAATTATACATTTCTTAGCCTAAAATATTTGCAAATTACAGAAAGAAAAATATGCTAAATGAGACACAGACTAAAACAGAGATAAGAAATACATATTACTTATTGCCTGTGTCTTCTGCACTGGACTAACAAAAAATGTGAATGCACTGTTAGCTTGATTATTAAATAGCTCTCTTTTATACTTTTATTCACATGTGCATAAGTTGTTTGGGTCATTTCTCCCTTCTGCCCCACTCCCCTACCCTTTCTCCCCTTTTCCCCTCAGTTCAAGGAATAATGGACTCTCGAGCCAGTCAATCAGAGTTCAAAATCTTTTACAGTTGCATGACCTTGAACAAGTTATTTAATCTCCCTATGAAAAATACATTCTTTTTTAATTTAATTTTTTAAATTATTGTTGTACTGGGGATACACTGTGAGATTTACAAATTCCTACAGCTGTTGTAATACCTACATGAGATAACACTCAATAAATGAGCTATTCTGAGACAGTGGCATATACCTGTAATTAGAGGTCTCAGGATGCTAAGGCAAGAGGATCCTGTCTCACATACAGAAAAAAACAAACAAACAAAAACAACCCACCCCTACCAAATAGTGGCAATTTTAGGGTCTCATCTAAATTGCTATGATTTTTACTTTATTTTAGTGTCTTTACGTATTAGTACCTTAATACATGTAACACTTAATGTAACACTACTTGCTAGATTTTCTTTACTTTTGCTTCATGGGAGAGGCACAATAGTAGCAGAACCCCACAGCATGGTTAAAAAAACCAAAACAACTAAAAAGAAGCTTTATTCTCTTGGGCACACAATCAGAAATGCACATATGTAGACATGTCATACCTTTTCAATTTGATCTGGCAGTAAGAGGTCACTGGGATCACTTAGGTTTGGTCGAAAAGATTCAGACTCCAGGTCTGCTTTCACTGGAGCAACCTGCTTTGAATTTATGTCTTCCCTTGTAGTAATCTAAAAAGTAAACAGCAACAGTGTATTATATAAAACTGTGACATGCTTTAAAAAATTTCAGCGTTATGAGTTAAAGAAAACTTTATGGTTTAGTAAACTAAAGCTTTAACTTAGAATTTTATAAGGCAAAAGATGCCCCATCTAGTATCAATGGTGTATCCAGTACGGAAAAAAGATTTTAGAATAAACAGTAGGGCATTGTTTCCTCATCTACTACATGAGGAAGAACTGGTAATGAATGATAAGCTCCCATATTTATGTGTAATAGAAGACAGTTGCATGCAAACTTTTGCCCTCCAGGTACAAAAGTGTGCCAGCTAGCTTGCTTTTTAAATTAAGTATTCTTTAAAATATATAGTAGTATTTTTTTATGCTAAACATAAAAGTTGTCAAAAATCATTCAGAAAACTTTCTAGGTATCAGAATTTTAATGTTAAGAATAAAAAGTATTACTTCCTTTTCATTAGTGTGTGTTGTGTGTGCATTTATTTGCTTCATAGAGAAAGTTACCATTTTTAGCCTTCTTATGTTTTAAAAGTTTCTGAACACTGAATCTTTTTATATAGTTGAAACAAACAATACATTTTAAGGTTAACTTGCTTAAAAATCTGTTTTCAAAATTAGATCAACTGGATGCTTCTGCTTGGGGGAAATCATCTCATTAGTATTCTTAAAATAATAAAAATGTTGATTAATTGAAAAAACATACTACTATACAATCTATTCTTAGTGCTTACATTTTACATTAATTTTAATATATAAAACACAATAACATTAGGAAATAAAAGCTATGAAACATGAGTACTATTGATGAAACTTAAATTGGAAAAATATACAGAATTCTACCAGAGCAGATAACTAAAATGCAGCAAAGCTCAGCAAATGAGTCATGTAGGAATGAAATCTTGCTAAATTATTTTGTTTTTAACAGATGTATTACCAAACTGGGACATGTTTGCATTTCAACCAATACATGTTCTAGAACTGTATTGTTTTTTATGAAAAGCTAAATATTAATGTTTTCACATCATCATGTTTTACCCTTATTTCAATGATGTGACAGGTTAAAACAAAATAGATATCCAAGGTAGCATTAGAAATATTAAAAGAAAAATATTCATTAAGTCTAGCAAAGCCATGAAAGCCTATCTTATTAAAAGGAAAACACACAACTAATCAATACACAAAACTAGAAAATGAGTTTTCAATTGTATCTGTTTTTTGTTAAAAAAAAAAAGATTATTTCATAGAATTTTAAATAATTTATCTAGCTCTGTTGCCTACCTTATACTATTCAAATTACTTTTGATACCAACCAGTAATGCCTCAAGAATAAAAACAATTTTCCTCATTCCGATATTTGATGAGGATGTCATATAAGTGAAACAGCCTTAAAGAAGAAAAAATACTTAAGCCTTGCTAGCCATTAAAATTTCTTGAATTTTCCCATAGTTCCATAACTTTAAGAATCTATTTAGTAAAGATTCAATCACAAACCAAAGACTACCAACATTAAAATTAAATGAAAACTCATTGCTCAAGAAAACACAGTACTAAGAATAGTTTCAAGTGACTGAAAATTATTTTGAATAGTTTTTAAATGAAAAGATGACAGTGAAGATAATCCTACATCTCATCACGGCAGTATTGCATCTCTTCATTACAAATGGAATTTTCTGATGGGCTATTTTAGTGCTTCAGTCAAAACAAATCCTTAAAATTTAAGATTTGCCCTGACAAAGGGCACTAAACACAGGGATTAGTTATCTCTGGAGGGGTTTAAACTACCGAAGGGGGCACCTGGAGACGTCTGCAGAGTGTGCGCAGTTCTTCAGTATTTAGAGCATCGATCCTGCGGTGATACTCAGCCACTGACACTACCTGAATATGGAGACAGGAAGACAATAATTCCACTGACAGTGAGAAAAATACCCAAAGAAATTAACAAATAAAAAGGAATGAAAAGGAAGAAAGGAAAAGTTTAAATGGGGAAAAGAGAACTAAAATCAGGATTTCTTTCCCCACTCCATGCTGAAAATCCAAGAGATTTATGTATCAAGCTAAAGCAAAACCCACATGAGTGAATTTCACTACATCCAATTAGTCAAAAGTGTAGGTTTACTTTATGAATTATCTCATGTAGACTGAATTTAAGTGAGTAGAACTTGTAGTTTTTATGAAAGAAAAACAAAAATTTAACAGGTTTTGCTAACATCTAAAATCTTCAAGGTCTTGCAGTTTACAAATAGAGTGATAGTCAACTATCTCCTCAAATCAGTTCAGCTCAAGCATTTTATCACAATGGCCATGTTGGATACAGGTGACAAACATATCTATCTGTATCAGACAAAAAAGGGGGAAAGAGGCAAGAAAAGAAGATGAAGTACACTTTAAATCTAAGGCAATAAAAAAAAGCAAGGTCGAAGACAGCAGAAAATTAAACTTTCAAAAGCACGTCTCATCAACAATTACCTTCTTAGGCATATCTGTTCTACACTTTTTAAATGATTTTTTTTTCTAGTTTTTGCCTCTTCTATTTTATAACTGTGGTTTATACTGTAGCAGTTATTTGTGACCAAAACCTAACTTTTCCATACTGTGAATTCCTAAAGGAAATCCTGTATCTTCCTTCTGTAATTGCCTAGGCCACTCTCTTCCTTACTTAATGTTGAATTGTTTTTGTTTTGTTTTGCAGTACTGGGGTTTGAGCCACTCCACCAGGCTTTTTATTTTTTTTTGTGATGGGCTTTTTTTGAGAAAGGGTCTTCTGAACTATTTCCCGGGCTGGCTTCAAACCTTGATCCTTCTGATTTCTGCCTCCTGAGTAGCTAGGATCATGGATGTAAGCCACCAGTGCCTGGCCTTAATGTTGAATTTTAAAGCCACGTGACAGATAAATAATACTACAGAAAAAACACAGAAGAAAAAACACAGCTTTCCTCAAGTTAACACAACAATTACAGCTTTTAACACCATGACATAATTACAAAAACTGTTCCAAAACATGGTGAAGTAGCATGGAATCATAAATATGTGCTGATTTTCCTGAACTACAGATACTTCCTCCTATGATCAACAGAACAGATTATGTGTAGAGGCTAACACCACAAAATGCAGTCACACTAGTGGGCCCCGAAAGGGTACTTAAGTCTTCTAACCTAGTTTATAAAATGCTCTTATTCTAGTCAACTAAAATGAACTGGCCACAAGTAAACATCAGAGTAACTATGAAAAGCTATGTGATGCTTGTTGAAAACTATGAAAGATATGAGAATAGAAAAAAGGAAAAGAAACTGAACAGATTCCTATTTGGCCCACATGTCATTACACTGACTTTGCTAAGCAATGATGCATATAATATGGTGGCTGACTTTGTACTTACAAAAGAAAAAGTGGTTATGCCCTCCAGCTCCTGGGCATCAAATGAACCTAGGTTTAGTCCTCTATTTCTTTATGAAGCAATGGAAATAATAGAAGGTTTATGTAAATTAAATGAGGAAATGCATATAAAGGACTGAGTATAGTACCTAGAACATTCTAATGAGAGCTACTATTTTTAACACTATTTTCACTTGATCACTTTTTACGAGCTACCCTAAGGATTAAATGATAGTGACTGAATGGACTAATTTATTTTTGGCATTAAAGTATTTAAGGTTTGAGATCTCAACTATTTTGTATACTTTGAATGACTTCTGAAATTAATTTTAAATTTCAGTATTAGATAAGAACAATAAAGGCCATTCAAAAAAGAAAAACTAACAGAATTTTCAATAAAGATGAAAAGAAAAATTAGGTACTACAAAATAAGAAACTCATGGCCTTGCTTTTATATGGTTGGAAAAAAAGAGGTCTCTATAAATTGCAATTTTTTTTTCTTTATTCCATGGCATTCGATCTAATCAAGGGTCTTCTGAACAAGAATTCTGAAATCATGAGATGTATCTATTCCTCTGCATTCTTTCTCCCCCTCCTGTTAAAAAGTATACTTTAAAATAGTACTTTACCTTCATGTACCCAACATACTTCCTCCTGGATGGAAGTGAAATTAAGTTATTCTCACAACAGGGATGACTTATAACCTAAGTGTATAAGCATGACTGCAAGTAAGGGTTACTAATAAGAGAACAATGAACTCCCACAGTAAGTCTTAAGTTTATAACACGGTAAATCCTTAGTTTCTTTGCGGCCACAAATGTAACTTTTCTCATTCACATTTTTAAAAATTTTATTCTTTTTCCCTATCCTTATAAATTCACTTCTTCTTTTTTGTGGTACTGGATTTGAACTCAGGTGCTTTACCACTTGAGCCACTCTTCCAACCCTATTTTGTGTCACATATTTTCCAGATAGGGTCTCTCAATTTATTTGCCTGGCTGTCCTTTGAACTACAATCTTGATCTCTGCCTCCCGAGTAGCTAGGAATACAGGCGTGAGCCACTGGTACCTAGCAAATTCACTGCTTCTTTAACCCTAATTATTTATTCATGTTCTGGTGAGTAAAGATATAGAAAAACGTCCAAAAAAAAGCCTATAAGTTAATAGAGAAAGATATATGAAATTGACTGGAATTAGATTTCTTCTTTTTTAAAAAAAATAGATAAAAGGGGATGTAGATTCCCAACAGTTTCACATTAATTTTATCCAGCTGGTAAATCATACTTTACATGTGGAACTTATTAGATAACCCAAAAGATTAAACATAATAGAAAATGGATTCGGTTCTATAAAATATTCATATCATGCTCCTCATTTGCAAAGTCTTAAGGAAATCAAGAGCTAAAAAGCAACTTCTTAAGTAATACAGTAGTTTGGATATACTGCCAGGCTGCAATGGAAGGAAATAAGTATCATGAGCTACACTCTGTAGCATTAAGTGCCACTCTCTAGTTTCTCCAGTCTTTAATAACAAAAGACCCTTATACACAGAAAGTATTTTCCTAATCATACTTTCCATAGCATTACCAATACGGAGATAGGATTAAATTCACTCATCTGTATTACAAATGAACAAACAGTACCAACAGCACTATCCTAGTGAGTAGAGGAAACTCATAGCTGCTTTCAATCTCATGAATAAGAACATGTTCATCCACTACATAAATAAAGAACAATACCACCTTGGCTTAACAGTTCTCCTTTCAGGATGTTTCAGCATTTCCTCCTGAGATTACTCCCTAACAAACCAAAACCCTCCAAGTGCCTATAAACTAACAAAAGTCTGTGCTATTTTTACTACTTTCTTAATAAATGGAGATGTGGTAGAGAGAAACCTGCTACTCAATCAATGCTATTTATGCAAGTTTTGGTAACCAAAAATATGTTAAAAAAGAAGGAAATGTAAGTCTGAGCTATTGTAGCTAACAAACAGAACATACAGCAGTATTCCTGAAGTCACATAACCCTTGTATTATACTGTATTTCATCATATAAAACTGTCTTCATTAGAAAGGAAGAGCTGGATTATGTTAAAATTTTGCTCCATTCTACCTAACTAAAATTACTGTTTTCTAAATAATACTCCACGGGACTATAATTAAATGACAGAAAAGGAGCAAATTTATAATCATAAATTAGATAATTACAAAACAATCAAAAGAGGAACAGAAAATTGGAAATACGGAATGGGTTAAAATAGAACACTTTATAATAAAAGTTTTGATTTGAACAAAACTTCTGCATTTACAAATCACTTCCTCATTAAGTATATTTGCAGATACTTCAAAAGAATCTCAGGAGAAAGCAGACAGATTCACTGACATTTTAGTAAGAAAGAAACCTGTAACTACTCAAGTCACTTATAATATGGATATGTTGTGAGAGCTTTGTGTAACAATAAATAGAAAAAGAGAGTCTCATGAAAAAGGAATAATGTTGCTTACTCCAGTGTATTGGGGAAAATAATACTTATTTACATAATCTTGAATTCCTCAGTGTTCTGTTTTATCTGCAGAACAAGAATAATACACTTCTGAAATAAAATAAGCATAACTTATAATTCTTTAAACTTATCAAATGAATATAAACATATTGATTTAGTAGGGTTTTGTGAAACTTAAATTTTCATTTTTAAAACTGAAATAAAAGGATAATATAAGGTTCTTTTCAGATAAATATTTGATATAATTTTAAATTAATGGCCTTTTTCATGATAGTTTTCCTACCACTATTTTTGTTCTTGACTTCAACACATTTTAAAGCATCTACTTATATCTCACCATTCCAATAAAACCACCAAAAAACCAAATATACAAAAAAACCCATGGAAATAGAGCTGGCAGCTGTGAATGTCAAAGGTGGTTTATCCTGAGGGTTAATTTACTGAGATACTGACACTAAGTCTTTAGGTAACAAAGTTTGCATACTAAACCTTATTTCAAACTCAAGAGACTCTCAAGGTAAGATTACATGGTCCTATAGATATAGCAGTCCGTCAGAAACAAGCAATACTCTGAGAAACACAAGATGCTCAACTCAAGGACTCAAGATTCTCACAGATTTGAGACTAAGCCAATGTGAGGTAATGAAGAAGATAACCAAACACATAACCCAACATAAGTAAACTGAAACATAGAACTGACTTTAGATATTGAAATTATCAGACATAAACAATGAATTGGACTTAGAAAAAAAAGAGAAATTCTAAAACCAAGAAAGCAGTAAGAGATGATTAAAAATGAAGCAGATCTGAAAATGATCAAATATAACTTTCATACAGTAAGTGTAATTTTTAAGTTTTTTTAATCAACAAGTTAAAAAGCAGACAGACACAGGTAACTAAGTAAACAAGGAAACAGGTAAAATTACTCATGATACATTACTGAGAACAAGGAGATAAAAAGCATAAAAAAAGTTAGGAAATTTGGAAAGTAACATATAAT